GATGGATGGATGGATGGATGGATGGATGGATGGATGGATGGAAGGACGGACGGACGGACAGACAGACAGACAGGCAGACAGACAGATAGATAGATAGATAGCAAAATTAATGAATGTTCAGTTGGTAGAGCATGAGACACTTAATCTCAGGGTTGTGGGTTCGAGCCTAATGCTCAGTTGGTAGAGCATGAGACACTCAGGGTTGTGGGTTCGAGCCCCACGTTAGGCGCAAAACTTTCCTTTCCAATTCTGTTGTACCCTTGCTGTACAATGACAATAAAGACTATTCTGTTCTATTAAATGTGAATATTATCTAATATAGTTGTACTTCTCTGTATAAACACAAAACAAAGGACAAGAAACGTAGACTTATGGGGGGCTGGTATAGACAAAGCCTAATATTTTCTGCCATACATACCTCTTAGGGGACAGACAACCTGCTCTGCTGCCACCTAGAGACTGGAGGGTTGTTTATCGTTCAAGCATGAATAAAGACAGTTTCCTAAAAGTCCACTCTCTGGTTAACCAATGAATGACGAGGAGCAGCAGCTCAAATTAGAAAGGCTAAACGACCAAAGTGATTAGTCGATCATCGTTATGGTCGTTAATTCTTTTCTGTCGTGTGTGCTCCACTGTGAGTGCTCTGACTGTGGGTGAGGTTGGTAAATGGGGATGGATGAGGTCGCAGGAACACACAGATTAACAGGCATTGTGCCGCAGCAGTTATCACATTCACATCACCATATACGACCTGCAGAATATAAACCATCACGTCAGTGGTTGTTTCACTGTCAGGTTACCATCTGTTGCACATCGCACGACTTCTCGCGCAGACTGAATGTCACCTTAATTCTTCACTCCAAGTCTGCTTACCTGGTCAAGACCATCCGGATCCGCTGATACAGGCTGGGTGCCATCGTGCCCGTATCCCGCGCTGCGCTGTCCACCGTGGAGATGACGGAAATCATCCCGCATTCGGAGCAGAAAAGATCAGCACATACTGCTCCGAGAGGCGCGATGGGGATGCTTCGATACAGTGGTGATGTGGGTTAGAAAGGGCGCATGGGGACGTGGTGTCCACCGTCCTGCCGGGACGAGTCTACCTAAAGATGCTAACGGCTCACTGGTGATAAAGTTGAGATGAAATAGCGCCGCTAGATGGCGTACTTCTGGCCACTTGGGGTCTGCAATCATTTTACCGGCAGCAGGAGATTTCTACAAGACAGGGTTGTCAAACATATGGCCCGCGGGCCAAAATTGGTCCGCTGGGAGATTAAATCTGGCCCGCTTGATCAATTTTGATGTTTTTTTTTCCCGAATACTATTTAATCAAACACGAATATTTTCTAATATATATACTATTTATAATATATATACGTCTTCGCATGAAAACAAAGATGTATTGTTATGTATAGGTCATTATGTGAGATTAAATCTGGCCCGCTTGATCAATTTTGATGTTTTTTTTCGAATACTATTTAATCAAACACAAATATTTTCTAATATATACTATTAGTATTATACTATACTATTTATAATATATATACGTCTTCGCATGAAAACAAAGATGTATTGTTATGTATAGGTCATTATGTTATTGTTGTACTGGTCCAGCTTAGAAAGAAAACATAGAATGTGTGACAATGATTATTTAGTTTTGGAGCTACATGATGCTGCATAATTTGTTATTCTCATGGTATAATAAACACATTTTTTTTTAATTTTGCTACTTAAAAAAAACCTAGAGAGAAATACTGTAATTTTGTTTAGCTTCCAGCAAAAAAACATTTTTATTCATTTTATATACAGACAAAATTATACAATATTCTGCATACAATCACTGTTTATAGTTCAATCATGAATAAAGACAGTACACTGATGGCGTTAAACATTGTTCACCTTCACCTTCATTACCAAAAAAACATTAAAAAAATATTTGGACCTTATATGAAATCATCTCTGTATTGGCTTTTTTTTTTTTTAAATCTTTTGTCAGTTAGACTGGGTGCCCAATTAAATTTTCATGATTTTACGATTATACAGGCTAGAGGACGGTCCGGTCTTCCATCGATTGACTTCCATTAGTGCGAAACATAGCTGCTTGATTGGTGTATGTCTCAGACATAGCTAGAGTCATTATCTATATTGCATTGATCATTTCTAGTGATGTCCGATAATATGGGCCGACTGATATCGTCGGCCCGATGTTAGCATAATTTTGTAATATCTGTAAGAATCGTTATCGGGTTTCTCTCCGATAATTAAACCCCGATAACACAACGCCTAGATCTAAAAATAGTTTAATGCCCCGACGACAGACCAGTCAAGATGCCTTAGTGCTCTGAAGAAGCTTTAGTGAAACACAATTGCAGTAACTTGTTCTGAACTCCTTTATTGCGCTAAACCCAGCTTCTCGAAAAACGCCTTTTCCTCCCCTCGCACTGTTTCTTCCTCATACACGCACACGCTCTCGCACCTCCTCACTTTTACTCCCATACCTTTAACTGTCAACTCCTTCATAACACGTGGACGATAAACACACCTCCAGTCAATAGATGGCAGCATTGCAGCTCATTTTAGTCATCTACTTTGATAATCAAGGGATTGTATGCAAAAGGCTGGTGGCAGCAACTTATACAGTGGTAAATATAAATAATTATTACCAGGTGCTCAATAGTGGTTCAATGGGGGGGGCAGAGGGATACCTTCTGTCCCCCAGAGTGAGCATGGCAGAAAATAACCTATCACCTTAGTGAGCAGGCAACACTTACCTTTCTTAACCACCAGGCCACCACTGCCCCGCTACATCGGTATCAGTTGATATCGGAATCGGAAAAATTAAGTGTTTGGACAATATCCGCATGTCGGATATCTGCAAAACGTAAATATCGCACATCTCTAATTATTTCCTTTATTCTACCACTGTCTGCCCGCTGGCGTGGCTGAGAATCTCTTAAAATTTGAACTCTATTTTCAAGGATTCACCACGAGGTTAGGCATGATGACTTGTTTGTTTGTTTTTTTTATTCACGAACAAAGGGCAAGTTCCTCAGACGTCAACAACAGCTGAATGAATGACGGATGCTTACAGAGAACTGAACAGTCTTTCAAAAGTCCTCCAAAAAAAAGACTCATTTGGTAATCTCTGGCTTGATGTCTGTTAGTCGTCAAGAGGATGGACAGGAGTAAAGGATGGAAGTAGTGAAGCCCACAGCGGGTGCTGACAAAACATTTCTTTGTTCTTTGAAGTTAACATTTCTTCCAGCCTGACAGACTGGAAGCTGTGCTGGATGTCACTGGCCGACCCGCTGCTGACATGAACTGTACAGCTTTAGAGCTCCCAACAAATCCTTGTAGGATACATCTCTGTGGGAGGGCACAAAGCTGAGGACAAAGAACAGAATTAGTGAATCAACAAAATGTTGGACCGTTGTTTTTTTTTTCCCTTCTGTAAACCGTAATTTCCGGACTATAAGCCGCTACTTTTTAAAAACGCTTTGAACCCTGTGGCTTAAACAATAATGCGGCTAATTTGTGGATTTTTACGGGCTAACAACGTTCATACCGCTACCGATCAATGACTTTTCTGGTAGGCTACTGTGTGTTATACTACTAGCGTATGTCTGTCTGTAAATGGCTGTGTGCGTATATGTGCGTGATGCACGTGAAAGAGAGAGAACGGTAGCGAAAGTGGTAGCCCTGTCATGTTGAAGCACGAGTTGGTTATACAGGAGCTGTTAAAACTCTGTTTATGTTCTGTTGTGCTAATAAATATCCCAACTTTCCTGTTTCTGTTTACCTAAGTGAAGGGAGTTAGCCCCGGAGATAACATTTCTCTGTTTATGTTCTGTTGTGCTAATAAATATCCCAACTTTCCCATTTCTCTGTTTATGTTCTGTTGTGCTAATAAATATCCCAACTTTCCTGTTTCTGTTTACCTAAGTGAAGGGAGTTAGCCCCGGAGATAATGTTAGCTTCGGCCCTGGAGCAGATCACTAAGTCTCCCCTGTGCATCCCAACTACAGTTGGTGCGTCGAAGCAGGAACGTTACGCTAATGCGTAACCAGCCGTGTTACAGGCACTGTTTAGAAAAAAAGAATTTATTTAATTAAAAGTAAAAAAAATAAATCTTTGTGTAAATATCCCATGTCACAACATGGACACTTGGCAGCTTGTATGTAAAATTATTATTTTTTCTTTCTAAATTTAGTGGACACTGCTTATATTTAGGTGCGCTCAATAGTCCGGAAATTACGGTATATTCATTACCAACAGGTGATTTACTACAGTACGTGAAGCAGTGACACCGACTGTAACTCACATAAATTCAGTGAGTCTTATGTGCCAGGGGAGGAAGCCTAGAGTGCTATCCACAGGACCAAACTTTACCACCAGCTCAGGGTCAGGAATCGTCTTTGCACCTGGAAAAAACAAAACAAAAAAAACAAAATAAGAAAATCATCAGATAGACCATTAATGTTCTCCTCAGTGGCTGAAGCAACTTTATGTTCATGTGTGGATGGTGTCTTTCTGCC